AAATTTGCTTGCTTAGTGAAGTTGGAATTTAAGTGTGAGAAAAAAAAAATATTTCTTGAATGGGCAAAAATACTTGGACAAGTCATGATTTTTGAAAGTTACATGGACTTTTATATCCCAAATACAGTCCATCTTAAGGTTTTCAAACCAGATGGCATCTTTCTGCAGAGAAAGCAAGCTGGCTGCGTAGCCAGCTGATGTCAAATACCCAGCTTCAGCAGGGAAGTTAAAAGAGCTCTGCCATCATCTGTTTCACCTGAAATTTTCCTCCAAATCTTCACTGTGCTATTCACTTGTTGAAAGAACCAGTCTAGCAGTCCCTGTTTTCAAAAAACATTTTGAGAGCTAATACTGTAAGCTGCAAGTCATTCTAAGTACAAGAGCTTGACTCTGAATAACAACTTCTGAATTTGGCAGGCTTTTTGACTCTGGTTTTCCTAGATTGTTCTCCAAGAAGCAGTGTTGTTGCAGCTATTGTCATTCTTTTTTGTTTGTTTTTGTGTTTGTTTTTTTTTTCAGGGATGAGAAATGATCTCAGGTAAAATCTACAACCTTTGAGCCTTGTTTATCAGGGCTTATCCTATGTGTCTGTATACAACTGTGAGAGAAATACAAGTTGCAAGAGAGAAGAATGTGAAGGTGCTAAGGAATCACTCTGTATAACTTCACATACAAGGCAGCTGTAATTGCCCTACACTTGTAAATATCTCCAATAATAAAGCAGGTTTTGCTCTCAATGATCAGTGATTGCACATACAGATAATTTGCTGCTGCTAGGTTATTTTTTTTTCTTATGGAGAAAGAACCAAAACAAAACAACACACCGGAGATGTGCTTAAGAAAGCAGTGCACTCATGATGCTGGTGAGAACTGTATTGTGTTGGAGTCTGACTGTGCTCTGCTTGCAATTCCAGCATGTCCCATAGAGTACTCATTCACAAAGAGCAAAAGTCTGTTCTTCCGAGTTCTTCATATAGCTTCTTATTGTAAAGTTAAATGTATAGTGAAATGTATCTAGACTATGAGTTATTTTAATGTTTGCAAATTAAGCATAGTCTTCTCTTAAAAGACTCTTAAAAGACTTCCAGTGGAAATAAACAGAAGCTAAGGCATTCAACATCAGAGTAGGAAAAATCCTACTTTTTTTCCAGGAATAGAGTACTATCAGTTTTTCCATTAGAAAAGTAATTGCTCAGGTTTTTCTTTACATTTTTAACATGCCACCAGGATATAAGGAAATCTTTGGTCTCTTGCCTCCCCACCTTCTCCCAAATGTTCATTTTAAAACAGTCTTCAAGTAATTAAGTTATGTGCTATTCTGCAAATCCTTTACAGCTATTACAATATAGTTATCAAGAATTCCATCCATCTGGCACAAAAATTTCACTGACTTCAACAAAACATGGTAGAACTTCAAGCAAGTCCCATGAGGAGGGGCTTTGAAATAAAGTTCAAAATATTTCATGATTACTTCTTAGAAGAGTGTTCTGTTTTATTTTCCTAGTGACCCATAGCTATTCTTATCTTTACTTTTTCTCTATCATCCATTTCTAAGCAAAGGTCATATATTTGTAACTTTATTTTCAGATTCTCCTGGCAAAAAATCAGAGATGCGGGAAACTTTCTCTCAGCCTCAAATAAGTCAACTGCCAGAGTTTCAAATTCTGGCAAACCAACTTCTCCAAGGCCTCGTAAAAATTCTAGGCTGTTATCTCCATATGCCTGATAGACTTTTTTTGTGATCATAATTAAAACCGTCTGTCCTTTCTCTGTGACTTCAGGAGAATGGCAATGAGTCGCAAGCTCTGAAAAAGCTAGAAGAGCAGAGGCTGGAGTTATCAGCTCAGAGTCACTTAATCTGCTATATTTCATCTACATACCTGTAGATGCAAGGCACTGCCATCTGCCTCTTAAGTCAGGTGACTTCGACATGAGTCCACCAGGGCAGAAGGCAACTTCACAGTAAGCATCAAGAGACAGAGTCTGGGGTTTGGATAGAACCAAAAAAACATGAAAAATAAACTAATTTAGGTTAGTTTAATTTTTGTTCCTCTTTTATGATCTGTTAGACCTTCTCTGTTTTCAGTGATATCCGAATAAGGGTTTTTTGTTTGTTTGTTTGTTTTTTATAAATAAGAATACATGAAAAGTAGATTGATATATGCAGAAGGCACAGAAATAATACTGAAAGCATTCTCAGTTTTATTTTAGGGAGAAATACTTAACCTTCAAAATATCATTTTGAAAACTAATTTACTATGATATTTTATTCTGTAGTATTTGTGGCCCTGCTCTTATTTTTCACACCTTGATATCCACTCTCCAAATGTTGTTGATTTCCTGACATTTTTGAGCAATCTTTACTTTCAAGGCTTTCTTGCTACTTAAAGAAAGTGTGTTCACCAAGCAGGTTACTTTTCAGCTCCTCTAGTTCTGATATCCTGCTCTTGTAAAATAAGAATGCGTTTCGGCAACAAATTGGTCTGATGTTAGAAGAGGAGATGCTGGGAGTTCTAAATTTAATGACAGCCCTAACAAGCTAATAGTGTTGCTGAGGTTTGTCTTCATAGGCAATCTGATGCTCAGGAAGCGAAATGACTTTTTGATGTTGTGCTTGGAAATTCAGTTCCTCCCTGATATTATCAATTATCATCATCAACTTTGGCTCCCAAATTTTGGGGAGAAGTTGAATATCGTGTTAGGATGACAGCATATGGCTGAAGCTTCAATATACTCGCTGCCTCCCGAGACTCGACCTTGGCCCTCACAGGAGTTCAGAGGACCAAGCATCTCTGAAGGTCTGAATTTTGGGTGGTATTGTTTCTTGTTTTCAAAAGGAGTTTGGTATTTAGGACTCTCTGAGGTCCTGGATCTAACTCTGCACAGGTCCTGCTTTTTAAATGGAATAAGGTTTGGTTTCAGAGACTGGATCCCTATCAGGGTCTGCAGTGCTGCCCTAACAAAGGAGAGCATATATCTACAATGAAAGAAATACTTTAAAAAGAACAAATACATTCCTGGTACCATTTCCTTATAATCAACATAAGAGATGAAATTAGAAGCAACCTTGTTAGGTCAAGTGTTTTAATAAATATATTTCTTCAACAGATAGTAATATTAAAAGGTTCTCTTATCATATTTAGTTTGATTTCATGGTAACATGTACAACTATTAATATAAACATCCTTATCATTCAATTTTCTATTGAGCGTTCCTTTTGTAGTTTTATTTTCTCGTTAGTTTCCTGCTTTATCATTCAGAAGGTTTGCACTGTATTCTTGCACATATTTGGTTTGGTGCCCAGAAATGTATTATTTTAACAGAGCTAGTTCATTTAAAGTTATTACTTTACAGGGGTTCTACAACGCATACATAACTATGCGTATGTCCTTCTACAATGAACATTGTGGTAAAGTTACTAAGAATCTTGTTTTTCAGAGTTGATCATATCTGCTATATTAAGTTACAATTATTTGATCAATCCAGCCTCTAACTTTATTTTTTATTTATTTATTTATTTATTTTAAAGAAAGGGGTTCTTAATTGTCAAAATATAATTCTTATTCTTTCTTCAGTAATGTTGGTCCTTCAGAAGCTATCAGGATTGTCAATCATCCTTTCTATTATCATAGCTGTTCTTATGCAGAATTCTTTCAGTCAAAACCAGTAACCCAGTGTTCAGTGACTTACACGTGGATTGACTGTGATGCTCTCTCAAAATCAAAATTGATTTCAATATGTATTTTTATATGTATTTCTGTTTGCTTGTGGGTTCCTTGAGAATATGTCCAAATATACAATAGAGTTCTTGTTTTGTTTAAAGACTTTAATAAAGTTCTGAACTATCAATTTTCTGTTGAAGAGAATCTAGATGAATTTGCAAGATAAACAAATCTTTAAAAGTAATGTAATTTCTTTGAAACTTTTCTATGAAGCTCTATCACAAGGCAGCCTCAAGGCTCAAAAAAGTACATAAAAAATTAAAAAATCTGCACAACTTCTGATGAGAGTTGAATCTGACAAACTTTTGCAAAGAATTGGCATTGAAAGATGGGGTGTTGGTGTGAATGGTGTAACAGAGTATTGCACTAATGTAGCTGGTCAGGTGCCAGTGTTTTCAAGCTGACCTGAATATCATGTAATGTGCTAGTATGACTTCAAAGTTACATAAATATCTTCTGTACTGAGATACCTGATTTGCTTCCTGCAGCTAAGGCAAAATGAGAAAATTCATCTATTACGCTTGAAGGAAACAGGGCATTTAAATATTTTGCTTCTTTTCTTCTCATCACTGCCCACCTGCAGCTTTGGAGGATAGGTTTGAGGCTGCTTAAACTAATCTGCATCAGCTGACTTGGATTCTTATGTCATTTGTTGGCTGGGTTTCAGGTATTTTTTTTTTTTATTTTTTCTTACTCTATACAGAGACTAAGTTGGTTTTATGCCTTGTCCTGGTGTTGATGGGATATTCGTTACCTGTGCTTTCTACTTTAGTGGTTCCATGATTACATAGTTCTGAGCTGTGAAGACACACATGACTGTAAGGAACTAAGTATTCAATTAAATTTGGAAATGTTGTGCTTATGTCTTAAAACATAAAATTTTACACTATTATTGGAAAATGGACCCAGAGTACAGGAAGTATCTTAGAGATATGAGAAGAAAAAAATAAATCTGCACACCATTTTCACAATCTGTAGCCAGAATGAAGAGTTTACATACTCCACATACCTAATTCAAGTTTGTGTACAGTATTTCCTGTTGATGCTTTTTCTACTGTAATATAATGGTATTGTTGAAAGTTTGTGGAATGACAACATTCATGAAGTGGTAAAGGGAGGAACCTGCACAAAATAGAGTACGATCAAGCCGTGCATCTGATGTTTTTATTCAAGTTCTTCTAGCCATTTAAGAAGTCAGTAGTGTTTAGATTTAAATTTTTAAAAAGTTGAAGATTGTTTTTCCTAGTAAGCATCTTAATTTATTCTCCCTTGGTCTAATGTTACAAATCTTGTTTTGTCTGAGTATTTCAGTGAAGTGGAGATACTATTACTCAGACTGCAGAAGACTATTCTTCTGGCTTGGGAGAGAAGGGCAGAAGACTGGTTGTGTAGGGTGGATGTGCTGATGGTATTTTCTTCTGTTGCAAGAGACACTGGACTCCATCAGTGTGATTCTCATAGCTATGTAGAAAAAGTGAAAGCCTGTGGTTAAAAGAGCATAAAATGTGTTATCTTAATTCTTATGTCTCTCTTGAAAATATGCTGTAGTATTATGTAACCTGTGCTGTTAGCTGATAATGTACTGTACATTTTTCCTGAAAATCTAATGGCAACATGTGTTTACAGTTATCCACTGTGTTTATTATATACTCTATGAAAATGATAATGCATAGCTCTCATACTTAACAAAGCTTTTATTTTCTGCAAAACAGGGCTGTATTGGACTTGATTTCACTGTGAGGATAACTTTCAGTAGACACTTTCTTTAGGGTTCAGTAGCCTTCTATCAAAAACGAATCTTCAAAACTTCAATGAGAACCATAATATATATGATGATAATGATAATATTAGCCCACTGATTTCAACACTACTAAAAGAAAGTTATTCTTAACTTCAGTGCTCAGTTTTAGTAGCAGTAGGCTACTGATTCCACTATCATGCTGCCAACAACAAATACTCAAACACTTCACAAAAATAAAAATAAATTCTCAACATACTTTAATGAAAATTATTTCTTGTTGTTTACTAATTTTAGAAGATCAGTACCAAATATTGTCGCATGAGAGGGTTATTAGGAAGAAGCATCATGTTTTTGTGTTTACTTTTTGTAAGTATGTTTACTTTTTGTAAGTATCTTTCAAAATATTTTTTGTTCTGAGGAGGAAGGGACAGTGAATAAAGCTTATAATAATATTTTAAGAATCAAAAGGATCAGCAATCCTTCTTGCTCCCTATAAAAAGCATGTTAAAAAGTCTAATATAACTGTGTTTTTGGGTTTTTTTTTTTTTTTTTTTTTTTTTTTTTTGTGTGTGTGTGTGTTGTTGTTGTTGTTTTAGTGCTTTGTTTTACTTATTTGGCTTTTCTTTTTTTTTTTTTTTTCCTCTGCTTGAAGAAACCATCAAATTCTTCCAAGAAGTTTGACTGACATTGTGGATAATTGAGGAGGACAATCATGCCTGCTTGCTCTCTTGAAACAGAATACCAGTCTGTCATTACTCATGTTCATGACTGAATAAGGTGTGTTGCACTTCTAAACACTACTCTCTACTGTAACATTATTCTTATTCTTCTTGGATTCCAAGAGGATAAGTATAGTCTGAAATTTTTTTTTCCGTTCAGATCTCTAGCTTGGTATCTGTTCAAGATGTACATGCACCCTTGGTTATTTGCATACTGCAATTAGCTGTATCTGTGCTCTTCAGAGTTTGTAATTTACTTAGATTTTTGTTATAGAAACTGATTTAACTTGAAATCTATCCCTCTAAATGCAAGACAATTTTGCCATTTTCCTTCAGAAGCCAGACAATTTATAGATGATCTCAGACCAAATAAATCAGAGAAGATATATTTATAGGTCTAATATACCATATATATTAATATATATTTTTAATCACTCTCAGACTGTCACCCTGCAGAAATAATTAGCTTCAAGCATGGCATACACATCTGCTGTCTGAGCAGATACTATTGCTTGTAGGATGCTTCAGAACAGACAGTATTTGGAATAGTCACTGCCACTCCTTGCCTCAGTGATGAGGTGAGCCTCTTTTATTTCCCTACACTAATTCACCTCAATGGCTGTGTAACTATAATTATCCTTAGACTGAGCAATTTCTCCTCAAGAGAACATTTACAGTAATTCTGAACAAAGAAATATAGATTCACTTTCACATTAACTTTGTGCTTCACAGAGGAAAAAGGCACTGATTCATTTTCTGCTCCTTAGCTACTTTTCTCCCAGCATAAAACCTCAGGAAACCCTCAGCCTGGCTTTCTGGAGAGGTGGGGAAGGACTACATCTCAGTGGTCTCAGGTTGACTAGATTTCTAACTATTCATGTATGCATACAGGTGGTTTAACTCCTAAATACACTGATCCTTGGATGATTCTATGCGAAGTTACCATGAGATTCAAGTTGAATTCTCATTTCTCTACAATTTTGATGGTGTGCGACTCTAGGCCCATTTTGAAAAGTTAGAGGTACTTTTATCCTCCTACAGCATCATAACAAAACACGTGGAATTATATGTGTGTGATAAAATGAACAATATCATAATTCAGATACCAGGACTTAAAAGGAAAAAAATGATTTGCAATGTCTAGCATCAATTGTTAAAATAGTTTTGAAGATCTTAATCTCTCGAAAATCTCTCAAATTATTTTAGATTATTCCTTCTCATGGCCTCTCCCACACATAATAATCAAACGCAAATAAAACTGATCTTAGTAGAAATAATAAAGTTCCATAATAAATATATTCTGAAAGCTAAGAAAGTTATTTCTGCTTAAGTGGAATAATTCTTGTTCCTATCTTCAAATACAAAAACACCGAAGTACATGTTTTTAGTCCATAACTTAGTTCAAGAAAATGTTAATTTTTTTTCTACTTCAGGTGTCTGATATGTCGGCTTTAATCATTTTATTAATTTAAAACTTCTTTTTGCATAATGTGTCTTCTCTATTATGCAGTTCTTCACCTTTGTACTCCTCTATAAGCTCAAAACAGTTCAGTAAAACTCATTAGAATCAAAAGTCCAGCAGTAATAAATTATAGTATATCCTAGAAAAATCTAGTTGCTGTACTTTGTTGGCATATATTGAAAGACAAGATGCACAGAAAATAAGGTAATGAATTGAAAACGTAGAGAATACAATGGACTGTGAAACATTCAAGACAGATTTTTAACTTTTTAATTAATTCAGTGGTTACATCTGAATACTGGATGAACTGCTGCTATCCTGTCTCACCAAAAGATTCATGGTTAGTTTTACCTTATGACAGCTTTAGTCAAGTTAAACAAAGTTGGTTTTACTTTAATATTTTTAATGCTGAAACTCCCCATGAAACTACAGGCTTTGAAACAAAATAATTATTTCCACAAAATTGTTGCAAAAATTGAAAATTAAGGAGAAAATTATTATTACGAGTTTCAATTAAAAATAACTTCTCTCACTCTACAGATACTGTTGCCATTATTATAACATCTTTTTGTATAAACTCATATATTCTCTTGTTCCAAACTAAAAAGGCAAAATCTATATTAAGTGAAAAAAACCTGGAAAACCTGTAGGAGGTTTTCCCCGCAGTGCAAGATGCTTATCAAGAGAAACAATAATTTGAAGAAGTTCTCTTGCTTTTTCTTCTGTATAAGGTTCACTAGAACAGAGAAGAAACGGATGATAACCTTAGCAAGTAGCAACTTTCATTTACCAATCTTGTCAAGAGACTACTATGTAAAGTGTAAAAATAAAGTAAAAGGAGACTTTACTGGATGTAAAAAAAAAAAAAAAAAAAAAAAAAAAAAAGCAAAAAAAAAAAAGCGTAACCGTTTTAGGACAAAAACAAGAAATGTAGAATAAAATCTATTCAATTAATGTTGAACAAAGAAGTTATAATCTTCTTACACAGGTCGATATCCACCCATATTATACACACTGTAATTAAATCTACATGGCTTTAAATTTGTAATCAGAGAATAATGGCTAAATTCTATAACATTTAAAAAAGAATATACTAATGAACAGGCAGAGACACGACTTACTTCCTTCAGTGTCCAGAAAATCTTCATCCACTATGTTGCTAATGCCTAAGAGGTTATAAAAATAAGATAATGTGATCCAGCAGCGACAGTGAAAATAATAATAAAAAAAAATTAAGTAGCTTTTGGGGGAGTAATTCTAGTGAATAAAGTGAGGTTAATGACTTTATTTAGGCAAAAACTACCATCCAGTCTGGATTTGATGAAGTACATAGTAAAATATTCTTTGAAATTGTGACAAGACTTATGACAAAGTGTAAAAGTAATTAAAGGAAATAATAATAATAATAATAATAAAAAAGATACACATGCAAAAGCTGCTAACATCTAAAAGTCAATGTGTTTTGGATTTGGAGCAATTTGTCTCCAGACAATGAGCTACCTGACCTGGGGAGATGGGCTGGAATTATTTCAGATCATTAGATCATTTTATTTATTCATTCATTTATTTATTTATTTATTTATTTATTTATTGTCAAAGTGAAAAATACAAGGAATTCTGAAGAGTGAAAAGTAAGGATACTTGGTTAAGTGCTGCCTGTCGTGTTTGTTCTTCTCAGTGGTTAATATGATATGGAAAGCAATGACTGAAGCACAAATAATGTGGATGGAGGAGTAACTCTGGAGTGAATAAAGCTCTCTCTTTAACGTTTCTGATAAACCATGAAAACTACATAACAGTTTGTTTCTTTTTAACCCAAGAGAAGCCTGACATTGAAAAAGTAAGATTTGAGATTTTTAAACATTGAAAGTATCCTGTGAGTATGCTCAACACTTTCTTGATTGCGAAAAGAAGGCAAGGAAGATTTTGGACAATCAGCTTAACAGTGAGAATTGAAACTGGATAATAACAAATTGCTATAAATACAGCTTTCTTTAAATAGTAAATAAGAATGGGTACCCTCTTAGAGATTTCTGTTACTAGATGAAGATACACTTTCAGAGGCTAATCTGAATTCAAGTCTTTGATACATGTATTTGTCTAGAAGTTTTAATTCTTGTTGGAAAAACACTAAGATCAATGTTCATAGTATTTATTTCTGACTCTCATCTGTGCTTGAAGTTTCAGAAGCTGTTTTGAGGCCCAGACTTACATGGCTGCCCACCTGGGACTATGCTGTGTTGTGCAGGAACACAATACACTGTTGTCTTCAGTGAATTGAAAGAAATAATGCTGTTGCTATAAACAAAAACCATAGAAAATGTGGAGAAGCATGGATGTGAGGACCTAGCACAGTTTTAAACTGCTCTAACAGAACTGTTGTTATGCTGTTGATATTGGTACTGGTTGGGACTTCCAACCTGGCCAGCAGGAAGGAAACACATATGCTCAGTCTCATGAATTTTCATGTAGTGTGTTCACTGCTGCAGGAATCACCAGTGCACTGTTGGTATCAAAAAGAAGAGACTATAGTAGGCTTGTCTGAAAATGTTCTGAGAAAAAGCCTCTGTGCTTCTTTTTTTTTTTTTTTTTCCTGTATGTATAAATAATTTGGATTTGTTCATCAAAAAGGAGTTATAAGAGACAGCATATTTGGTTTCTGTTTCTTCTGAATTAGTATGGAATGCTTAGTGAGAAGGACAAGACTCCTCTAAGCACAGTCCAGAATCACAGAATGGTTGAAGCTGGCAGGAACCTCTGGCTCTGCCTGTTCCAAGACAGGGCACCCAGAGCAGGTGGGCCAAGAGTCAAAAACCTTAAGCTGCCACTTCTTGCTTCATTTCCGGGAAACACTGCTGCTTCTGCAACTTATTTTGGTTTAGGAACACTGACACAGCCTGAAAAGAAAGATAAATAACTGAAAGGGGAAAGTGTTGCCTACTCCTGGGTCCTTTGTAAGTTTTGCTTTGTTTTACAGACAAGTGGGACCAAAGGGAATTAGCAACTGAAACTCTTAATGTGGTGAGGGCACAGGATAAGATGCTGGTGTTTCTCAGAGAGATTTAAAAAAAAAAAAAAAAAAAAAAAAAAAAGACTACATGATTTATTTTTCTACTTTCTTGAATTAAGCTTCTTATCAAACTGTCTGGTATCAATCAGCTTTCTGTGGATGTGCAAGCAGCACAGTTTAGTTGTGGTCTCGTCTCCATGACCCCAATTTGATGCCAATGAAAGCAGATTACTCTACTTTGGAAACCTAACACTGATCTTGAAGATGAGGGTAATGGAGACACAGGCACTAAAACTGCCTGGAGGAGCATCACAGGTTGCCAAACTCACAGATTCTTCACTCTGCAAAAGCAGAATCTGGAAGCACTCGCTGCCCATCTATCTCTTGATCTTCTGCTGGTGCTGCCAGAAAACCTGGGTGAGATCAACACTGCAGGAAACTTCTGGTGCTAAGAGAGAATTAATTAACCAAACTCTGGGACAAAGCAAAGGATGCAAGTGACTCTAATACTGGAGTTCTAGCCTTGGAAAATGAGCGGTTCTTCATCATAATGACAGTGAGTCAGAAGTGCTCTTTTGCTTTCACATAGAGAGGGAATTAGGATAGTTGATGACTGAAAAAAAAAAAAAAGATCCTCCTTCGTGAAACAGCTTTGGTGGTCAAAACAGAGCCTAGGTGCATACCTCTGGGCAAGTGAGCAATGTATCAGTCTTTCTCCACTGTGGACTCACCATCCTCATAAGGCTCTGAGCTGCCAGTACCAATGAGGGAGATGCTAAGATTCGCCTCAAACCTTGGCTGTATTTTCCCAGTGGCAGTGCAGCGTGCTAATCGCTGAGCCATTGGGATAGCCCTGTAGGGCATTCTTCTAATAGTTTTTCTAGTTCTTCCACTGATGTCCTTATACATCTTTTATGATTTCGATAGTGATGCTACTTTCCCCAGGCACTTTCCTTCTATCTTACTCTCCGCTTGCTTTTCTTTTGAATATAGGGGGAGGGAACTACCTTAATCTTGCCCTTCATTGCAGTGCAACCTTTCAGAAAAGTCGTTTCCTTCATCTGCTCTTCCCACCCTGAGTACACATCAAGGAATTCTAAAGATGGGAAATATTTGAGCTCTTTCTATTTAAGTTTTGATGGTCTTTTTTCCTGACTTCACGTTCTATTTAGAGGTTTTTCTTCTATATTGATGAACAGCCAGTTCTTTTCAATTTAGAATTAAACTCTAAATATTTTCTTCAAACTGTACTCATTGCCTTTACAAAGGAATGAAAACAAAATGCAGCATCTAACAACATCTGAAGGAGAAAATCTTGTTACCTTATGGAGTTTTAGAAAGAAACTGTATTTTTTTAACTGCAGCTCTTCTCTGATATGCACTGCTGATAAATAGTAAAAACAAATTCTTTCCTAACTATATATTTCTCTCATATTATACATAGATAAATTCCTATGGGAATAACTTAAGCAGTATAACCTGAGATATGAGGTAGCTGATGTATATGAAGTATTAATATGAAAAATATTTTTACTTATGTATGTTATAAAGCTCTTGGAATATTGCCAGCAATGAAGGTATTGGTCAGTTAAAGAGATGCCTTATCCCTGCTTTGCCAGTAGCTTTTTTTCCCTGCAGGTCCATCTTCCTTTGTTTTCCTCTTCTCTTTTATTCTCACTTCTCATCTCCCTTTCACTATTATGCAAGGTCCTTTTGAGGAGCTTCCTTTCCTTCCCTTCCCACTAACTATACATATTGGTAGCAGCAACTGAAGCAACAGTCAGTGGGCACTTGTAGAGGTGGCATGTTGTAAAATAATATTTTTCAAATATTTAATACTCCGAAGATGTGGACTTTATCTACACTTAATGGGTGGGGAGGCTGATTACTCATTCATAGCTACGCCACTTGTGAATGATGAGGTCACCCCTATCTCAGGAAGATAAATGCCATATCCTGTTATGACATATTCCTTTTGTATAAAATTAGTTCAATTTTCTCACTACTGAGGAATCAGTATAGCTGAGGAAAAAAGTCACTTCAAGATAAAGGCATTTTTCTACTGTAATTCATTATATATCCTATTTTCATTTTATTTTATTTCTGTTCTGTTTTGTTCTATCTTATCCTGTTCTATGTATAGTATTTTACTCTCTACCTAAATGATATCTGACTAAAGTGAAGCAAAAATTAGATGATACAATGAAGCTTTGTAGCATTCTCTCTCATACCTGTCACAGGCTCCTTCCAACAGCAGATAATGAAAATTCAAAGTCAAACCATTTAACTTTAAGTAAATGGAAATGAATTTCCAGAGAAGAGAGATTTTTTCACCTGTGAAAAAAAGGAACAGCAGTATACTGACAATGTGAATCAAGATATAATATATAATTGTGATAGATAGGTATATGTAAAGCATAAATATTATATGTGATTATATTACACACTGTCATGTGTTTTTAATTTTTATCTTTATATGTTTTTGCCTAAGACAGGAAGATCTAGACTGTGTTGTATGAAACAGCAGTACTGTATCAGAACATTTCTTAGATCAATCAATACTAAAGCAACTTGCAGAATATCTTACAATGGTATAAGGTATTTAGACAAAAAGTATGTCACTCAGACACCAGAACCTGTCAATAATCAGAGCAAAATGAGAAATAAATTCAATTAAAAATATGAGGCTGAATTCTCAGCTCTTTCACACAGGCATGCTGCACCGAATTCATTTTAATCCATCACACGGTGTTGTAGCACTGGTGAAACGCGTGGTGAATTGGGCCCACGCAATTTAATAAGGTGCAGAGAAGAAGCTTGATGATGGATATTTTCTTCAGTGTATAAAATAAGACATGTCTCAGAAATTCTGTGTTTTACTGTTGTGATTAATTTGGGTACAGAAGATACTAACAATCAAAATGGACTTTTCTGCAGATGAGATAATATTTTTCATTTAGTATCTTTTTAGAGTGATGAGAAAAAAGGTGCTTATGTATTCTGCAGACATTTGCAAACCTACCTTGGAATCCTGCTAGTCTCACAGCATACAAAACTATCTGTTGGTAGTTCCCCTGACTCAATGGGTCTACTTGTGTGAGCAAAGTTACCCACACTGCCTTTTCAAGTTGTGTTAACACTTAAATTCAGATACTAATCAATAGTTACCAAAGATCTCAAACAGACAGAGAGAGGGAGAGAGTGAGTCTGGTTCTACTTCCATGGATGAAAACTGGTGACTTTCAGGACTAAACAGGCTTGACTAAAGGCTCTCTGTCCGAGCTGTCCCTTTGAAACATGAATTCCTGCCTGGAGTTGCCACTGTAGAGCAGAGAGTGACAGTCAATGGATGGGGACCTGGACATGATTACATCCACTCTACTGCCCGGACATACACTGATGGAATGATCATTTGGAAAATGTCTACTTCCCACATTTACATTCCTTTCAGCATTGTTCCATAGCCAATTAGAGTGGTAGCCCAGCCTATATTCATGCCAGTCTTGTACTATATTGTAAGAAAAAGGAAAGGAGCAGCTCAGAAGTCTTTAATTATTCCTCCAGCCATTTATTGACCTGCTCTCTAAAGGCCATCTACGGGCCTTCATCTGCATGCAAAATTCCTATTGACATCACTGGGAGGGCCACAGGCAGATGGAAGGTACTTTGTAAACCTCACATTTTAAAGATGTTGTAAGAGAAAGGCGAAGAACTTGCAGTTCTTGAAAAGAAGTGAACAGCTTTATCTAATATAGCTCTTTAAACATGGAATTCAAATAACGTTTTTTCCTAGCGAGCAACGTTCCCTCTCTTCTCTGTGAACAGCCTAACCCACACGTTTCTGTAAAGTCTTCATATTTAACACTCAAACAATTGGTGTCCCTATAGTATAAACAGGATAGATAATGAATATAAGTGGGATAGAAAATTAATCCTACTTGCAAGGAAAGAGAGTCATAATTCACTTAGGCTTCTCAGCTCTTACGTTATGAGGTCTTCAGCTAACTCATGGGATCCATTCCACATCCCACAGATGCTCATTATGAATTCTTTTTATGTGCAACATGTGGGGACTAACCAGTTTCATATCTCCTGGTATTAGCTGCAATCCAAAGCATTTTGTATTAAAACAGAATGCAAACACAGATGCTATTTAATACAAAGAATTTGAATGCAGTCTCTGTTTTAACATCAAGTTAGTGCGTCTTAATTTGGTTCGGAGCAGAAATGCAAAGAAAAGTCAAGATGAGAGGATACCGTTAGATGAGGAGCCAAGCTGAGATTCCAGGAGGCACACATGGGAAAAAGAGAGATGGGGCCAGGTGACAGCTCTAATTTATGGAAGCGGAGGATAAGGTGCCCTCAGGGCGGCGGGGCCTCTGCAGCACCGCGCGCGTCCCGTCCCATGCCGGAGCGCTGTGAGCCGCTCTTCCCCGGCCTACAGCCGGCAGCGGGCTGATGCGGTGCAAGGTGCACTGCCGCGCGCCTGGCTCGCAATGTCCCCTCGCTGCTCAGCAAAGTGCACGGCAACGCACTTTTCGCTCCGGCACGCAGCAGAACGGAGCTACAGGTCCGTGGTTCGGGAGCGCCCCGACGCGCCGGGAGATCCGCTGGGACCCTCCTGCGGGAAGGGCCCTCATGTCGCCCTTCCCTCGCCCCCGGGGCGCGCTGCGGGCCCGCAGTTCCCGGCTGGGGTGCCCCCCGACCAGGGCCCGGGAGGAGAGCGCGGGCGGGGAGGCGGCGGCTCAAAGGCGCCGAGCCCGCTCTTCCCGCGGGGCGGCCGGGGAGGAGGCGTGGGGCTCGGCGCGGTGAGTGCCGCCTGCGGAGGGTTTTGCGCGGTGTGATCGGTGCGCTCACGCACGGCGCACACCTTACAAGTTTGAGCGGCAATAACATTGCTGCACACTAGGAGGGGAGGAGAGTCAGCTCCCTATAATAGGAACAAACTCCGCCGTTGCACAAAAGCGGCGCGTTTTCTCGCTAGAGAAAATCGTCCCTTCAGAGAGAAAGGGGAGTGGGGGTGGGGAGGGGGGGAAGAGGGGGAAGCAAAAGCAAAAGCAAGTTACCAAGAGCGAGAACTCGCGCAGCAACCATCCGCCGCTCTTCCTCCTCTCCTCAGGACCGGAGCGGGGCTCTCCCCCTCCCCCCTGGCGCGGGCCCAGCCGCGCTCCGCCGCCTTTCTTATTACTTCATTGAGCCCGAGCGATCCTCCAAGAGTCGCGTTTTGGGGAGGGGGGAAGTTGGAGGGGGAGGGGGAGGTGGAGGGACGAGGAGGAGGGAAAAAGGCAACATTCGCTGCTCATCATTTCCACCGCACCGCCAAAGTAACTGCGCCCCCCTCTCCTCCCGTCCCTCAGTCTGGATTTTCTCTGTATCCACAGCCGCCGTGCTGTTAGCCGTAGCTTTTTCTTTCTTTTTTTAATTTAGGATTTTTTTTTTATTTTTTTATTTTTTTTTAGCTCTGCTCCCCTCCCCCCAACCCCTTCGCAGCCCGGCATCGTCCCCCCTCACCCCGCGCCCCCCCAGCCCCTTTCCATTTCGCCCGGCAGCTCACATCAAAGCGCCCTGCCTCACTCCCAGCGGCCGCCACTCACTAATGGGATTGCAGCGTGCCCGGCTCCGCCGCTGCAGCCGCCGGAGGGAGAGCCGCTGCCGCTGCGCCTCTTCGCCGAGAGCCGCCGGGTGCTGAGCCGCGGGGATGATCAGGATCTTCCCGGATTTCAGCGTGCAGGTGACGGCGGCGGCCGGCGGGGCGGCCGGGGGGGTGCCGGCGGCGCCGGGCATGGGGCGAGCCGGAGCGGCGGCCAACGGGAACCCGCAGAACGTGCAGGGCATCACCTCGTACCAACAACGGTGAGCAGCGGGCGGGAGCGGGCGCGCGGCTCTTTCCGGGGCTCCCCCACTTGCTTTTTCTTTGTGCTTTTGTGTTTCTTTGTTTTCTCTTTTTTTCTTTTCATATATAAAAAAAAAATATTGCCGTTTGATTGTTGGGGGGTAGCTTGGTGGGAGGGAAGAGTTTTTCCTTCCCGCTTCCTTTTTATTTTTAATACAGCATCTTTTAAAATGCACTGAGAAGTAAACGCAATCTCCCAGTTTTTTCTCGGATGAACTGGAAAGCAACAATAGCTGGGGAAGAAAAAAAAAAAAAAGAAAAAATAAAAAAAAACCGAAAAAAAAGAAAAAAAGTGCGAGGAGCACGGTCGCGTAGCGTGGCCGCTGCAAAGTTTGGGATCCCGTCCACTCATCCTTTCTAAAGAGGAATTTCTCAATGTCAATGCCTTGTGCAGATCCCAGTGTGTGGCAGCCAGGGGGACAATTGATCCCGGGATGCCGATTGAGAATTTGCTTTCAAGCAAGAAAGAGACCAATATTCACTTGGGGTTGCACACTTGCAATTCCACACTGTAGGTTAACAGCTTTACTGTGTCACCTGTTACTACAGGGAAATGCAGCACGAAACCCTCAGCACTGCTATTATTATTTTTTTTTTTTTTTCAACCTAAACGCATTCTGATGCAAATGCAGGGAATTCGCAGGGTAGGCGCCGTTAGGAAGTGGAGCGCACAAAGTTGGCAGGAACTCGCAGCGAAGTTCAGAGGGGTTCCCATCGTCCCAGTCAGCCCCGCTCCGCGCCGGCACTGCCTGAGTTCACTGCGGGCTGAGGTCGGGGTCCCGCAGTGCTGTGCAGGGCGAGACCCGGAGTGGAGCTCCGGGAGGGTCCTCCATCAGCTCAGGAGCGAAGCGGAGTGCTCACAAAAGTATTGACAACACCTCAATGTAGGCTGAGATCGGAGCGAGACACGTTCTTCTAAATGCAATAATGTCCCAACGATCTGGCTTTTCAATACTACATAAATCCTGAGAAAAATGCAGTGTAATAACAAATACTTCAGCTAAATCTCTCTACAATGTAGAAGCTAAAACCATAGAAACTTTTAATGTTGTATTTCAAACAAATGTTTTAGAAGCCTGACAGAGCAGTGCCTGCTTTGGTCTTCAGCAACTTTGGGCTCCCCTCTCTCACTTTGGGAAACACACACTGTGTTTTCCCTCTGATGCCCATGACAGAAAATGCTCGGTGCTAACTTCTGTGGGTTTTATTAAAGGGAAAGGCACGAGCACTAATATTCTGCAACAGCCCCTGTGCTGCCCCACCACCTCCTCAGAATCATTTGAACTAAGTCTGAGTCCTTCTTTGCCATCAACTGTCCCCATACACAGTGTCTTGGCCGGGAGAGAGGGAAGGAGCGGATTAAAGTTGGTTTGTTTTCACGGTTTCGCTATGATTTTTGTCACTTACAAAATCTTTAAATTACAATGGAAACTGATGGGCATTTTAACGAGGAAGTACGGGCAGCGATCACAATAGTTAAGGCTGTGAAGTGGGGAAGTCAGGGGTCAGAAATGTCACATTGGCTGTAAGACAAATAAAAGGGACCTCTGGAGACTTTAAGTTAAACAGAAATATACAGATGAGCAGCGTGCGAATTTGTAGTGCTCGGCGTTTGGGAGTTGAGTTGCGTCAGGTTCCGATCAGGGGTAGCTCCAAAGCTCTGCCAAAACAGTGACGGCCCCGGGCCAGGTGCGGCCCCGCAGCAGCGGCCGCTCGGACCCCACAGCACGCTGGGTGTCTCGGAAACATACTGCGCTTCTTCCAAATCATGTCGGTAACTATTACCGACACGACGGCGTCCTCTACATTGAACGATTTTTTCTCCGAGCTTTCTGGAAAAGCTTAAATCACAGTGGGCACCGACACCTCCTTCCGCGATTGCACAAACCGAGGTGACACCTGTTAACTTTTTTTTATTACTTTTTTTCCTCCTTGTTGGAGCCGAGGCAGAAGCCGTGCGCGGAGGAGCCGGCACGTGGCACCCGCAGCCCCCTCTCTCCGCGCCCCTCCTGCACCGTCCCCGGGCTCGCGGCCCCGCTCCCGCCGGCGGTGCGTACCTGCGCGCCTTTCCCTGAGCTGCGGACCCACAGTCGCTGCTCTGCCGGCCCGTTCCCCACCGCCCCCCGGAGCTGCCGCAGGGAGGTGTCCCGTGAGGGTGCCGGGCTGAGCCTTACCCGGGAACCCGCCGGGGGGTCAGGCCCGGGGCGCTGCACTGCAGGACAGCGGCAAGAAGTAGCCACAAAGTTACCGCGGGGATGGAGAGCTTGTAGCTTTCTCCTATCCAGGTGTACTGGATGAGACAATTGGGACAGCGGTTCCGTTTTCTTGCTCCTTAATTTCCTGCTTACTTTCACAGTCCGCAGTGAAACTGCGCACAGCAATGCATCCTCCCAGCAAAAAGGGGCACCTCCCGGCTACCCTTAGCGCTGCGTCCCATTGCTCGGCCCCGGAGGGAGGGGGGTCTGGGGGCCTGCTCGGTGCCCGACCCCCGTCAGCTCCCGGTCCGCCGGGGCCGCGGAGTGAGCCCGTGGGGTTTCCGCGCCCAAGGAGATCTCTCGCCTCCCCGCCCTCAGAACCTCTCTCCGCCGGAGCCGCGACTCCGGAGGAGGAAAGTGTGCGAAACTGCAACTGAGTGGCGGTGTTGCGCCGGCAGCGGAGGCTGCGTCCCCTGCACGCAGAGCGGGAGCGGAGTCGGGGAAGCAGCTGGAAAATGCCCAGAAATACTTTCACAGCGGTCAAGCGCGGAGATCCCCGCCTGCCCTCCTTTCCGCCCCCGCCCCGCTAGCCCAGCGGCCCGGCACCCCTCGTAGCCCGGCCCAAGGGCGCGGGGCCGCGAGTGTGAGCGTGTGAGCGGCTGCGTTGTGTGTGTGCGCGCGTGTGTGCGTGGCCGTGCCGCACCTGCCGGGCGATGCCAGCGGCCGGGCTGCCCGCCGGGGCTGCGCCGCGGCTCGCTCTTCCCGCCGCCGCCGGCCGCCGCCGCCCGCGCTGGGCATGTCTCTGGGGCCGCCGGGGCCCCGGTTCCCTCCACTCCTCGGCTTATGGACGGCGGCAGCGGCAGCAGCAGCAGCGCTAGCGAGCGAGCGAGCGAGCAACCTGCAGAAGGACCGCGCGGAGGAGCGGGAGCCCGCTATGCTTTGGCCTCAGTACTTTTCCTTAGCCCGTCTGGCTAAGCAGGGCCACCGCTGCCGCTGCTAGACACACAAAACACACCAACATCAGGAGGGGGAAAAGTAAGGGAGAGAACGAAAAAAAAAAAAAAAAGCCAGGAAGATGGCGCCCACCAAGCCAAGCTTTCAGCAGGATCCTTCCAGGCGAGAACGGTAACACTTTCTCTTTATTGAACCTGCAGCAGCAGCCGCAGCCGCAGCAGCACCGGGCCGCGCCGCCGCCGGGGCGGGGGCGGGCGGCCGGGGGGGGGGGGGGGGGACGCCGCCGGCACCGCCGCTCGCCCCGCCGGGCGCCGCGAGTTCCTCCGAGTGCGCCGCCGCACCCCGCGTCGCCACCGCCGCGCACGCACCGCCGCACCGACACAGGGCGGCCGGCGGCAGCCCCGCTCCGTAGCCCTATCGCCGCGGCTCGCAGCGGCCGCCGCTCGGCAGGGCGCGTTGGCGAGCGGGTGTGCGTGTCTGCGTGTGTGTGTGTGCGCGGAGCACCCCCCCTCGGGCGGCCCCCACCGCTCGGCGGCCCCGAGAGCAGCGGGAGGGGAGGGGGGGAGCGGGGCGCCGCGCCAGGCCCGGCTTGCCGGAGTGGAGGGGCCGGCCCCGCCTGTGCCGTTCAAGTGCAGCTAGGCCGGAGCGGGGGGGCCGCGCCGCCGACGGCCCCCGCGGCCCGGCCCAGCCCCGCTGAAGCCCGGAGGGTTCCGGCGCTCCCCGGGGCAGGCGGAGCGGTGCCGGGGCGCGAGCGGGCGGGAGGCGGGAGATGGGAAGACGGGCGCGGGGCTCCATCCGGCCGCCTCTGGGACTTTTGTTGGGGAGAGCGCTCGCTGTGAACGCGCTGCCCTGCTGACAAGGATCTCCCATAGCGGATCTGTTGTAGCGAAGTGAATCTTTCTAGAAGTGACCAGGAACAAACAAGAGTGCAAGTTCATGTGATGTTACTTTGTGCTCCTTAAAAAAGTGCTCCAAGCTGCGGTGCTGCACTGCGAGGAGAGCTGCGTCCAGAAGTGGAGGATGGGGGGGGGGGGTGGCTTCTTCCACCTCTTTCCTTCCCTTCAGAAGTGAACTTAAGGGTGAAGGATAAGGAGTTTGTTTGCTGTAAAAATGAAAATTAACATTTAGACAGCTTTTAAAAGTAGCTGGGCTGCGTGTTGCTTTCTTTCTACTTCACAGCACTGAAAAAATACTTAAACAAAAATAAAATGTAAGGGGCCAGTTCACTTTAATCTTCAGTTCAGACTTCTGTTTTTGAGTAGCATCAGCATTCTTTGTACAACTTCTAAACCCTGTGGATTCTGTCTGGATTCTGTCTCTGTTGTTTTCCAAGGGAAGCAGACTGCCCCGAATGAGAAACTGAGCCCAGAAACACTGAGCACAGGGCATGTGGTCATTAACTGTTGCACACCTGGACAAGGCTGTACTGACATGCAGCTGATTGGGAGATGCCTGCAGTGGGAACGAAGTGTGTTCTCAGAAGTCAGTAAATTACAGATTTTCATCTCCGACTATAATATTTTTTAAAAATCCCCTTTCTGACAGCTGTAGAGGCATCTGGTCTCTGCTGAGTTAACACCGCTTCCAGTAGCAGCTTTGCTGCCTTAGAGTTCTTTGTTGGGAAACAATTTGTATCAATAAGTCCTGTCCCCCCCCATAAACAATTCCTCTGCCTCCTTTCTGAGCACCGTACTGTATTAGTGTGAAGTGCATTCGCCAGGATAGCTTCAGTAATCTCTCCGGCAGAAGCATATTTGTGTGCCATTTTGGGAATTTCTCTGAGATAGGAATCTGGAAGATAGAATTAATTTCTAGGGGAAACTTCATAGCCTGTGCATGAGTGCTTTCTTTATCACCTGTCTCCATTTGGCATTCGGAGAAGGTAAATCAAAGTGCGCGATTTGTTATTCTGCTCCACTTGAGAGCTGAACTAAATAACACTTGGTCTGAAATTCTGATTGAAGTTGTAGGAGGATATACTGTATTTAATTTAATGCCCTTTAATAGCATCTTCTTGTTCAGCTCTGGTGCTGTCATTTTAAAGGTTGGATCCGAGTGGTTTTTCCCCGTAGGGAGTGGGAGGAGTAATGATTTCAGGGGAAAAAAGTCGTCTGGATTCCTCAAGCACTGTAGCCACAAAGTTGGCCCGGCGGCCGAGCGGCTGCACTGTGCCCTTGGGGTTCCCCTTCTTATCGCCCCTCACAGCGTTCCATTGTGGGTGTAAATATTGCATGTAGAGGCTGAGGACATTTTTTGTATCAGAAATAACGTCGGTCTACTGTTCTTTAAAAAAGTTTCTGGAAAACTGTAGCAGTGCTTCAATGCTCAGGCCCACATGTACTTTTTCTTAAAAATTCAGTAATGTGGCTCCAAAGCCCTACATTAACTGTTGATTTAAGCTGTCCGTACGCATCCTTCCAGCATTATGTGTCAGGCTCCTTGAGCCGTGGCACTCAGCAGTCGCTGAAGGGGTTCTGCAGGCTCTTCCTTAGTTACTGCCTCCCTGAAGGAGTTCTGGGGGTGAGAGATCCTGGAGGAGGCTGTGGGGACACATTCTGTTTGGTCTTATTTTCCACAATATTTAGGTGGATTGTATTACTGCTTCCAGCACAAGGTTAGTAGTTACGAAACAACTGTGAGAGGTGGTAGTCCTTGCTGCAAGCAGGCATCTGATTGTTTTGAAACTTTTCCACCTGTTCAAGGTTTTGAAAGGATGTTTGAAAAGTTACACACATAATTTGATTTTCTTTTAAACTGCATGTGTTAGCAAATGCTACAGTTACGGTAGGAGTTTGGAGTTTTTCAGTTGTGTGGATATTTAACCAAGAAAATTAAATAGACAGAAGTGTCATGCACATGATATGCCAGTATCGATTTGTAAAGCATATCATCATATCAGAGTGCTATTGGCTTACAGTGGAAGAGAAAAAGCCCTTTATTTTGGCATTTCTTTCTAGAGCGTGAGCTTAAACATAGCAGTGATAAATGATGATATGCATTGTCTAACACTTGCTTTTATATAAATAGCTCCAGAAGATTGCTTAAATGATAATCGAAAATATGAAATAGGGTGGCCTTCATATCACAAGGCCAAGGGTCTACAAATGGAAAAACTGAAATAATGAAATATTTCCAAGGCAACAGACTGTCAACAAGAACAGTAATGCATGGGCATATCATAGAGCTACCAGAGAGGATATTAGATCTTATAGCTCTAGAGCCAGGAGTTATAATGACCTTTATTAAATAGAGCCCTCCCACATTACAACAATCTTTCCGATTCCTGATTTATGGATTAGCAGTCATACATGTCTTCATAATTTGAAACATTCTCTCACCATTTGCAGCATTTTTTCTCCACCGGAATCATACATTATTTAGAGCTTACACGAGAGTATTGATCAACAAAAGTTATATTACATATTTTCGGTAACTAATGGGATTCCGAATAGCAAGGTTTTGTCTGCAGCACTGTTTCTACATTCTTTCGACACAACTGCTTTTTTTTTTTTTTCTTACAAGTTAGATCCAGTTAACTTGTTCTGTACCAATATAGGGCTACTATACGTTATAAACATGTTACAATAATTAGAGGGTTATGAAAACAGATCCACCCAGCACTTGAAACCGCAGGTATTTTAAAGAGAGTACCAGGATGTATTGTCAGCATCCATCTCCTTTTATTAGTGTCTCCCTTGAATTTCAGAGTCTCACATGCTGGCAGTTTCAAATCACGTTCATTTGAAACTTGGCACACGAGTTGCCAGCCCAGATGGGAATTTTACTGTGAGAGAGATGTAAAACAGTTGTTGGAAAACTGACATTTGAGGCATTAGTTTCATCAGCATCCATGCTAAAAAGTACAATTAGTTTAAATAAACATTTGTTTCGTAAGACTATCTTTGTAATGATGCCTTCATTATTAGAAGATATGCTCTAAGTCCAAATAACCGATACTGACCATGAGCATTAACTCTTACAATTTCATAAACATTTTAGGATCATTTCTGCTCATATTGTGGTCAGTAAGTTAAAGCCTTTTTGGAACCATAGTGAAATTTTTATTTAGTATCAATTAAGTAATTTTTTTCCTAAGTTTAAAGTTATGAGACATTTCATGACATCTCATCCCATGCAAGTAAACCTCACGTTCAGCCCATCAGTGGATTTCATTTTGTATTATTGTGTTAACTCTTGCAGGTATAAAAGCACCTCCTGTGAGATGAGATTTCAACAGTAGTCACGTTACTTTAAAACAAACTAAGTGAAATTGTTCTGTGGGGTTTCAGCCTGGAAACCTGGTTTTACAATTTAGACTTAAGGTACATTGCCAATGTTTTGCATTTTCCCCCCAAACATTTGTTTTTTGTTTGTTGATCTATGCCTATTGTTTAGTGGTTTTGTTTTTGAAAAAGACTGACAAAGATTTATTCCCATAATAAGAAATGTTTTGAAATGTCATTTTTATTGTAATTGCATTTTTTTTTCAGAAGAGACAGTTTGTTCCTGTATAATTTGTATGAGGCTACTGCATGTTATCTTTAACATACAAAGTCCAGTAGTACGAGTGAGGTGTGTAACTTCTTGTTTAATAGGATTTTGCATAATAAGGATAATTTCTAATAATGTTGCATTTTGCTGCTTAAGAAGTTGTATCATAGTAAGAATAAAATGGTTGCTGCCGTGTCCTATATGACTAGAGCATTGTTCTGTGACTAGCTGGAGCAGTAGTTTTGCAAAACACAAAGTCCTAGGCAAATGAATAGGAGTGTTGTGCCATTGATTTGAACAGGGCTCTGAGTAGTAAAAATACGATTAATTTTGTATGCTGTGATAGGCTACTGCATAGGACAAAGAAGATATGGCAGGATAGTATTTGTGTTTGTAATTTGGCAGAAGTGGACCCTGCCTTTGGAGAATATTGAGTTCAAGTTGTACCTTAATCTTTAGAAAAGTTCCAAATGAAATTATACCTATAATTAAAGTGCACTATGGAGAATCACAAGCAAGGATAAAAGTCTTTTTACCGTATAATTCAATAGATGTGAATTTGTTATCACTCAGATGACAATGACAAACTTTAATGTACTTTAATGGGAGGAGGATTGGATTTTGCGTCTGTGTGTTATTATAAAACATGAAAGTCTTGAGATTCTCAAGGAAAGGTGGAA